ATATATATATATATATATATATATATATATATATATATATATATATATATATATATCAGGGCTCGAATTAAGTGATCGCGAATTGCAATATCCGGAAATATCTGTGGTCATTAAATTCTTAGTTTTTTTAAAAACCGTAAACACTGTTTTAATGACACGATCAGTTGATCATATTGCAAAAATAATGAAAAAGCAAAACAATAAATTTACAACTGCAAAAAAAAAATAACAGTCAAAATTTACATATTATTAGTTATTGTTTTTTTAAACAATAATTAATATTATGTAATTTAAGGATTATAAATAAAAAAAAGTTGCAAGACAAAAATTATTATTACTAAAGGTCGGAAAAACTTTCGCAGTAATTTAAAAATCAACCCATTAAAAACTATGCTTAAGCTATTTGCTGATTGTATAAAACTTTGTAGAAAAAAACAACCAATAAAAAAGTATGCTAAAGCTACTTACGCATTATATTAAAAATTAAAATAAATTTTTATTTAGGGGGAAAATTTATAGAATTATTTATTTTAAAATTTAAATGTTTTTAATTCGAATTTAATTATTTAATAAGAAAAAAAATTATAAAGTATATTTTTTTTTAAATATGTTATTAGAGTTTCTTTTTTTTTGTTTTAAAGTAACTATTAAAAAGTTTAAATTAGTTTTTATATATTAACTCTTCCGTCTTTTAATTTTATATTCGTATCAGCTAAAGTGTTACAAGCGTTAAATTTATAAGAAAATATTGAATGAGATTTAAATAACATATAAAAGTATTTTATATCTGAATTAACCATTTCTTTTATTTAAAATATTCGATCACTGTTAAAGTCCTTTAGATTGTTGTGATTAGCGCTTATTTTTTAATATCTATATCGTACTTTATCGTGCTTTATTTTTCTAGTTTTATCTGATGTTTTATAACATAAATTAAATTATTAAAGTTTAAATTATAATCTTTAATAATAATAAATATATATATATATATATACATATATATATATATATATATATATATATATATATATATATATATATATATATATATATATATATATATATATATATATATATATATATATATGTCTATACATATATATATATATATATATATATATATATATATATATATATATATATATATATATATATATATATATATATAAAGTAATATAAAGTAATATATTAATTTATAATAATTTCTCTGTTTATATTTAAAATTTATTGAAAAAAATAAGAATCTGTTTTTAATATAATTGTTTCTCCTTAATTTGCCTTATTTTTACTTTTTAATTGTCGTTCATGACCAAATTTCATTAAAGATTAGGAAAATATCTCCTTAAATTTCCTTAAAATCCACGGATAGTGCTTCAATTATGAAGAAAGTGGGACAATTAATGTCTATCGACCATTAGCTTTGTCTATCCCATGGAATCCAATTGGATTGACATCTTGTATAAAACAACAGTTGTGGACTTGACAGATGATCATTTTGAATCTGATGAAGATAATGCTGGTGAGATTTCAGATGAATATAATGAAGACCATTTAGATGGATTAAAGATTTTTCAAAGCTCACCAAATTCAAATGAATTTGCAATTGATAAGCAAAGTTAGAAAAGTTGTACAGCTGTTCAGACGATCACCAACAATAAATTAAATCTTTCAAGTTTTATGTAAAAACTGAACATGGTAAAGAACTATCTTTGATATTAGATATTAGATTTGATATTAGATGGAACAGCTTACTTTTTATGCTAGAGCGTTTTTATAAATTAAAAAATTCTATTCAAAAAGCCCTGATTGACTTTAATTCAGCTATTAACTTTACAGAATCTAAATTAGAATTAATATTATCAACAGTTTCTATGTTGCTACAAGTGAAATTGGTGTAGAGGCTTTGTGTCGGAGAGATGCTAATCTTCTATCAGCTGATACTACCATGGCATTTATGCTGCAAAATTTGGGCCTAGGACCATTAAGTAACAATATGAAGACTTCTTTAATTAAAAGAATAAAAGAAAGACACAAATTTATCTTATCTCATGCAATATCTTCATAAAGAAGATCAAGCCCAAAATAGTTTCAGTTCAGATATCATATTTGATCGGCTATCAAAAACTGCTTTGATAAATTTAATACTGCATTTTATTCAGCCGCTCTCATTCGTCCAAGCTGAAACTACAGCTGTCATCCAAAACAGATAATGACGAAGATACCATAATGTGCAAAGACGAACCTTTGAGCTTGATATTACAGGAGCAACTGGACTTAGGCATAAATAAAGTGATAAAAATGAAAACAGTACCAAAAACAAACTGAAATATTAACAATTTGACTAAAATGATACCAAAAGAAATTTCTATATTTGAGGAAGATGGTACAGTAGTACCAACTTGAAGTTGGTATACGATTATATTTTAACTATTCCCCCAACTCGCATAACAGCTGAACGGGCTTTCAAAAATTTAATCATCTTAATATGACGAAACTTTAAATAATTTATGTTTTTTGCGGGCCTATTTCAGGCCTTGCGATAAAGTGTCGGGCGATGTAAATTTTACGTCGTCCAAGAGCGATTTTGCGTGTAGCTAGGACTATTTGCGTCGAGCAAAAAAATTTTTGTTTGAGTATATTTAAAGATATTTTTAAGCGGAATTTTAATGAAGTAATTTATGATTATTTTATCATTTAACAAAGTATTTTAAAAACCGCACGCAGTTGATATAAAAGTTTGAATTACAAAAAAATTAAATATGCTCATTATTTACAAGTAGAAAAAATTCAGATTAAAAAAAAAGTTTAAATCTTTTTAAGCTAACATTTTAATAAAATTATTCAGCAATAGCAAAGTTGTTGATAAAATTGAACAAAAATACTTTCTTTTAGTGAAAAAGGCTCAATAAACATAAAAAATAAAATAAAAATTAATTTGCAACCTGTAATCATAAGCCATTTCATAAAACTTAAAATATAAAGTATATCTAAATGAGGACATATATAAAACGTGCATTAATTTTTTTTCTTAAAAAAAAAAAAAAGTTGTTTTAATACTACTGCTAGTGTAGGTAGATTTTATTTTACTAGAAATAAAATTCTTTGTAAACATTAAAAATCTATTCAAAACGTTCGTTAAAGTTTTTTAGTAATACGAGTGATTGTGCTTATCAACCGCTTTATGAAAATAAATAAAAATAAATAAATATTATTTAAGATTGCTGGTAAAAATACTAGCTATTGCACAGTTTTTAGTCATACAATATTAAAATTTCCAGTTTATTACTCTCTGACTTTTTAAAAAGAAAAAATAATTATTTGAAAAACTTTAAATTACATATTTGAAAAAAAAAAAATCAAATATTAGCATATTTTATAATCTTTTTTAAATGTTTAGTTATAATGTTTTTTATTCGTTTAGTATAGACAAAACGTGTCAAACGTCGAGAAAATAAACAAATGTTTTTACATTTTAAAAAAGGAAACATTCCAAAACATTTTTAAATAATAACATTCCTACATTAATGATTTAAAGTAGTATTGCGGTAATTAAGTAAATTGGTGCAGTTAATGTCGATAAATATGAAAAGCAAATAAAAAGAATTTAATGAAGTCAAAAATCACATCATGCTTATGCGCCCCGCAGTTTTTATTCATCATAAAGCCTGCTATTTCAATAATAAATAATTTTTTTAAGTGTTTTTTTTTTTCAAACAAATTAATTTTATACATTATTTTAACTTATATAATAAAGACTTACATCTGTTTGTTTGTTGCTTTGCGTTTAAATTAATGTTTTTAGAATATTTGTAAATACCATTATTAATACCGGTATATCTGTTTTTGCTAAATCTAATACCGAAAAACCGGTATTTTTGTTCCGGTACGGGAAGGCCTAATTGGTATAAAATTTTAAATTTGTTGAAATATTCTGCCAATTTGTATAAATAATCGGTAGGAAAATATGGAAATATTTAAAACTATAATGCATTACCAAAGTACTTTTTAAAATTCAATAATTTCACAATATTTGCATTTTTAATATCTTTTGTCAACTTGTCAATAACTTAATACCAAACAATTCATCAATTTAAAAATGTATAATTAACAATCAGTTTTCTGATTTCTTTATAAGAAAAAAAGTGGCTTTCTATTTCTAGAAATTGAACAAAAAACTGGCTAATGAGTTGTAGTTTCTACCAGTTTCTGAGCCCTAGTTTACAATATATCTTGTTAGGTTTAACAATTATAACCACGTGCATTCACCTGCATTAAATAGGAACTTAAAGTTAAAGCTTAAAAAGTTTTTGTTATTACATATACGATGGAAAAATTGAATTTTAACTTTTGATCATATTTAACATTTTATTTTGAATTTTTTGCTTTGCTTTTAATACTTTTAATGCACATATATTACATACAGATTTATATTTTGTTGTTGTGTGCCCTGAACAAAACTTATATGTCCTAAAAAAATATTGACTTTTTTTTTGCCAAAAAATATTTAGTAAACAGTAAGCATTATATTGAGTTTTTATTTAGTTAATTTTTATTTAAATCAGGCATTAATTTTCAAGGTATCAAAATGGATCAAAAAAAATTTCAAAGTAATATAAAACTCATAGAATCAAAACAAGCTTAGAAGCCATAGCTTCTAATATACCATTACAAAAATTCTTTAATTGATTGAAAAAAATCTAATAATCAAAATCATCAACAAACAAAAAATGTCAGTTTTCATATCTTCTGATCAATTGCACACTGAGAAAGCCTGTTATTTTAGTAAGTTTAGCAACCTTTTTCTAATTATTTTTTTTTGTTTTTCCTGAGAACATATTAAAATTATTTGAGTCTTGTCAATATTCTTATTTATTTTCTAATTTGTGCCGTATTTTAGATTCATGTTTCTTATATAAAAATGTGTGTATATATATTTTACTATTCTCTAAAAAATTCATTATAAATATAACAGTAATAAATATAATGTAAGCAAAAACTAC